AAACTTAAGACAAACTCCTGAGTGCTCAAGCAATAAAAGCACCCGTACATATTGGCTGGACGATATCCTTCGTCAGCATCTTTTGACTTCGAATCACCAACATCTCCGCTCTTCTTCTCAGATTTCGGAGCCTTCTTTCGTTCTTTTTTCCGTTTCCCTGAAATGTGACTTCAGCAGATAACTATCAGGGCGTTACTCGATCACTCACCATCTCCATCCTCGTCGCTAACGTCGACATCTTTCTTGTCAACACTTGTGTCTTTGTCGCCGGGAGCAGGTTTATCTCGAGCAGCCTGTTCGATTTCACGCGATTCGGATCGTTGAACCGTTGAACATTCTGGCTCGAGCTTCACAACAGGTGGAGCCACAGCAGGTTCCCTTTCGGCCTTGACTTCAGTTCGCTCTTTGGCCTTATCGACAGCTTTCTCAGCAGCCTTATTCTCTGCTTCTTTGAGTTTCTCTTCTCGCTTGGCTTTATTCTTTTCATCCTTTTCTTTCGCTTTTTCTTCCTTCTCCTTTTCCTTTTCTTTCTCCTTTTCTTTCTCTTTTTCTTTCTCTTTCAGCTTCTCTTTCTTATCTTTTTTCTCCATCTCCTTCTTATCCTTCTTTGTCCACCTGAAAAGAATTTCATGGACGCTTGAATAGCTATGGAGACAGTAGAGAACCTTTTCTTTTGGCTCGTCATCCTTCACTTTGCGATCGGATTTCTTTCCCTCGTCATCTTTATCGGCCTTTTTCGATTTTTCGTGCACAGATGAAACAGGAGAAGATCTGAGGAAGTAATATTTAGTTCAGAACTTGGAAAAAAAAGAACTTTTCAACTACTCCTAATTCCCTAATGAAAAACTTACACTGAGCGCTCTCTACTTGTGCAAGGTTCAGGATCCCGTGATGTTTCTTTTGAGTCAGTCCCTTCAGATTTTTCTTTCCCTTTCTTGGTTGGTTTCTCCTTCGGTTCAGCAGTGGAAGACTTCTTCCTTTTGGCTGGTTGAACCTGGAACACTTTGTGACTGGAACAGCTGCGAGCGAGACGCTCTGCCGCTAACCGTGGACCGCTGCAACTTATAATTTAATCGGACCTGCTTCGACTTTTCTATTACAACTTCTTACTCCTTTACTAGACATCATATCTGAACCGTTAACCTTCACTTATCTAGTGGTTAGAGAATGGCTGTAAGATGTTTCACTCTAAAGTAACGAAGCTGCACCGGTCCAATGATTATCAGTGGAGCGCTGCCAGTCGTAATCACTCCAATCGGGGCAACTGAGTCGCCTCAATCGCGGAGTAACAAGTTATCAACCCAGTCGTTGCCCATCCTCGCAGTCAGACGGACGGTGTCAGGACGGGTGGATTTCTCCTAGCTGCCTTTTCTACCAACAACGATAGGCTAGTCATCGATCTAGGAGAAACCAACCAGTGGTAGAAAACTGCAGGTGGGCTGATTTAATGCCACTTAAAACCGCCCCAACTGAATGCGACGACATCAACCGAGAATCGTAGAGAGAAATTATAGAATGAAAGTAAGAACTCAAGGAACTGAGAAGGAAAGAAGCAAGGATAACGAGAAAAAGGTGGATGGTAGATGACAGAATAAGCATCGTTCACAAAATTCACCTTCTGATTAAGTAACTCTGCAGGCCGGATCAATCGACGTTCGCGTGGACTATTGATGGTAGACGTTATTGAAAGTTCATCCAAGGACCAACCGAGCCTTTTATAGAACGAATTGAAATGGGCGAGATAACTGGAAAACAAACGACTGCAAAATCTACTGAGTCAACGCTGAGACCGCGTTTATACCTTACGAATATCTGCCGTAACCGACGTTTTCGGCGAATACACTCATAGAATTAGGTAATTACCGCTCCGATGTCGAAAACGTCAACCACGGCAACGTAATCGTAATGCATGAACGCAACTTAACACATGAACGCCTTAATTTCGGAGGTGTACGTCTCAAGAAAAATCAAACAGCAAATACCCTTTTTAGGTTTTGCGTGTACTTCGTCACGAAATCTTGTGCGAACGTCCGCCGAAGCGAACAATCGTGATGGACTGTGATCTTTTGTGTAGGTGATCGTGGCGCACTCATACACTCACTATCCCTAAGACGGAGTAGGCGTGGCATTTGAATATGGCACAGATTGAATTACTCGTGGAGTACGCAGACACGCCTACCCCATCTCACGGATTTCGAGTGTACTTTGCTACTAAGGTGATTAGGTGATTTGGAAAGCTCGACAATTTGAGAAATTGCGCAGCGAGCATAGGTATCGATCTGGCGACTGCGGAGATTGAAGCGGTTCGGTGATTTAGGAAATTGAACGACCCGGCGATCCCAGAGACTCGGCGATCCGGTGTCTTGTGAGATCGCCGCATCGCCCAATCTCTCCGCAATCGCTAACGACCGGAGGCCGATCGATACGCCACCACTTCTTGTAATGGCGGAAATATCGAGTCCTCTAAAAATCGCCGGTTCGCGTGAATCTCCGCGCTTAGGCCAGACCGATACCTATATTCCCACGTCAGCAATCTCGCAATTTCTCAATCGCCGAATCCGCCAGTCGCACAGTATGAAACGCGAACCCAAGATCATTTTTACCAGACACCACACGTTTCACTTTCCAGAAAAAAAAAAAAAAAAAAAAAAAAAAAAAAATAAAAAAAAAAAAAAAAAAGAAAAAAAAAAAACCATTCCAGCAGCTAACGCTCAATAAAGTAAGACTCACAAAAGTTATCACCATAATGCTGAGTTATGGGCAAAAGTCGTACCCCAAGAGTCGAACCCGCACCTCACGCTTTCGCGATCCCTGGGGCGCTCTATCGTATACGCCCAGGCCGCTTCACACCTCCAGCTTAGCGGCTTTTATGGCCCCGTAAGCCGTAATTATTAACGTGCTGACACGCTCACCGGAGTTAAACGTGTGAGTCTGCTGTATAGGCTACGGCATAAAAGCCGTTAAAGCTGCTGAGAGGGTAAAAGCGGCCCTGGTGGCGTAACGGATAGCGCACTCGCCCGGAAAGCGTGAGGTGCGGGTTCGACTCCCGCCTGGGGCACGACTTTTGCCCATAACTCAGCATTCTTGTGATAACATTCGGAACGCGTACTGCGGCGTTAAACAGCAGTTATCATAACAAAACAGCTTCAAAATGACAAAAGTATTAATTATTAGGTTACTTTGAATGTGTAACAACGATATGAAGCTCTTAACTTTTTTTTCAAAAAAAAAGCTCCAAGACCCAGGGAGGTTACGGAACACATGTGTTCGAATCTGAACGAATTTGAAGTTTTAAATTTTTCCCCTTATTAAAGATGCGCCCACATAAGTGCGTAAGTGGAGCTTCCGAAGGGTGAGAACTGAATGAAACATGAGAACCGTACCTCCGAGAATGATTCCCAAAACATCAAACATTGTGTGTATCTAAAAGGAAGGGAAGCAAAAAAGGAGGCAATATGAAAAGTTCAACTCAAGAACAAACTGACGCATCGAGAGAATGTATGAGTTTTCGACGGGGTTTTGGAGCACCAAAAAAAGGTCACCTCAGAGTTTCTGATCAACAAGTACGTTAAAATAGTAAAATAACAGTTCCAAGAGCAGAAATGCACACGTATTCTCAATTGAAATTGTGCCAGACGCAGAAAAGGGTTAGCATATTCAGTAAAACCGGAATTCAAACTGCTGTTGGACAAACATGCTCCCAAAAGCAAAAGTGCACACATTGACGTCCAGAAAAAAAAACATTCGGAAATATCACGGCGAATATCAGCTGAAACACATAAAGGAATAAAAGAAAGGATTAACCGTGGACGAGTATCACCTTATATACGCTGAGCTTTATCGGATTTTCTCCTAGAGAGGAAAGACTCAGGTAATGTGAGTGAAACTGCGCAAAGAAAATGTGAACCCCGGAATTTGTGAGGTGCTGGCTACTCCATTGTTCGAAGCATATTCCCCATAAGCACAACTTTTTGGCCTCAGTTTCACATCGCAAAATGGGTATTGATTCCACAAATAATTGACCTCACAACACTAATTAGTTCTGAAGAAAGATAAGGACAATAATACTGAAAACTAAATGGGGAGGTATAGCATGTAAAAGTAACAAAAACTGCTGCTGTTGCCACCTAAAATTTTCCGCGTGCCTATCTGCTACCTTGCAGAAAAAAAAGCGGCTCGAACCCCAGAATGCAGGATCGGACGCAACAATCACCTATTAAACGCGCTCACTTACTTACGATTCATCATACAACGGATCTAGCGGTGTTGGCAGCAGCGACATAAACTTCAAAAAGAATCTGAAGCGAAAAAAAAACACTGGTACGAAAGACTTGAGCCGCAGTTGTAGCTGCTTCATTTCGAGTGAAGGGTAATGTAATGCAGAAATAATGCAATGTGATGAACGCTATGAAGAGAAAGCGGTGTGGTGGCAAGAAGCTCGTTCACAAAGCGCTCGTCAGTCCAGTGTTGAATTGCAGACGTCTCTACTTCATCCCTTTTGGGAGTACATAACATCCGAAATGCTGACGCATGAAATAAGACTGATCTGTGGTGTAAGTCATAATCTCATTCGAAGAGCTATTTGCGAATCATGCGAGTGGAATGTGCGCCGCAGCTTAAAAAAGGATAGAACACTGGCGAAAGCATCCATCGTTATCCTTCTTTGATAAGACGATTTTTTCTAAGAAGATATTCGATACAAAGTGAACAAACTAGAGCTCACTGCGGGTGATGCCTCACAAAAGAGAAGTGACAGGAAAACACCTACTTGAGAACCGAAAAGGGCAAAAGCCATCAGCTTTTCTCATAAATACCTAATCAAACAGACGTTCATCTGTGAACACTCTAGGGGTCATTGACCACTTTGGCCGACTGGCGTTTTCGCATAGATTCACGTACTCTGAGCCGTGAGAAGGACAATTATAGGTGTCAGATCGTGATCAAGATGTCGATTCGATCTACGAACGCAGTTCTCCCAAAACGTTGATGTCCCCCAAAACGCATAACTGATTGGAGCGATCTGTATCTTTTCTATCGTCTCGCTACAGACACCTGATTTTTCCGCCATAACGTCGATTACACGCCGAAAGGCTAAGTCTATCAGGCACAGCTCGCCAGTATAAGCGCTCCATGCTAGCGCACAGCGTTGAAGAATGACCTAAGTATCCGCGATAGACGTATGCAGTGGCGCTTCGTAGTCATCGCCTCCAGAAAACTGAACGATTTCAGGGCGGACCTATGGCAGAGTTGCGAATATTCTGGAGCATCATGTCACTTTTCCCTTGGCTTGCTTGGCAATCGACAATGGCTGGGGATTTATGTAGCCCAGCTCTTTTGAAGAAAATGTGAGATCTCTCAGAAACCCCAAAAGAAATTAGATAGAAGGTGTTAGTGATCAATAGCCCTCAAAATGTTATAGGCTATGCATTGCCTTTGTTGCGTGCCTTTGGACGCGCTTCTCATAATTCATAATCTCATAAGTTTCGAAGAAAAAAAATCGAAATAAGAAAAAACAGAAAAGCTGACTTCCAATAGGAGGCAGCAAATGAATCGTGAAAAGCGATCTCCAACTACATAGCGGAACACAAAAAACAAATATTAAGAAAAAAGAAGTAAGGAAGAAAAAAGGTTAAAAAGAGGTAAAAATATACAGAATAGGTAAAGTAGAAAACATATGAACAACAAAAAACGTAAAGGTAAGACAATTAAAAGTAAGACTGACCGAATATATGCCTTCCGAACAGTAACCGGTGTCGCTCCAGGGCAGCCTTCCAAATGCAGTTTGCACAAAACCTTGAAAACAAGATTTTACAGATATCGAAACAAGCAAGGCAGTCCTCCCTGAATTTAATGCCCACCTTTCGCCAAAGTTGATTTGTGGTTACCCTTTTACATCCTCCATAGTACTGAACTACTCGATAAAAACGATACAAATCTATATCCTTTCCACCCAAAATTGGTGCACGATTAATTGGAGTTCCTGGAATTCACACAACAAGTAACTTATTTAGCGACAAGACCAGTAAATTCGCATTCGAATTGTGCACCTCGCTCTTCTTGAAACTTGTACAGTTGAGCAACAAATAAATCTCGCTCCTCTCCATACTCCTCCTCATCACTGCTTTCGGAACTGGATGAATCACTCTCTACTCTGAGAAAAAAAGTCTTTATTACTTCGAAAGGAGCCTAAACCTCTCCAAACAATGACTTTCTGTGCAACTACTCCCTGAAAAACCAACAGAAAATCGAATTTTGAAATAAACTGACTTCTTTTCAGCTTTCTTCTTTTTAGAATCATCCTCCTTCTTACTAGTTTCACTGGCATCATCCTTTTTAGGAGGTTTTCCAGCAGACGAGGTCTTGCCAGTTTCCTTTTTTCGCGGTACGCCGTCCGCGTAAATTTCCTTCGCTGTCCAGTTATTGGGAAGAGTACCTAAAAGAAAAATGAATAGAAGTGATTAGTGTTGGTTATTCGCTCACAGTTTCCCAGCACTCCATGGGATTTCAATGAATACCTTAGGAAAGATTGATATTCATAACGTTACAATGAAAGTACAATATGGAAGAAAAACAATTATTGTCTGTGGAATTTTCCCAAGATTAGGCAGAGATGGAAGGCAAGTGTGGGCTGCGTATATAATCACCAAATAATTGATGTAATTCCAAAAAGATACACGAGCCTGAGTCAAAAACACGAAAATGCTGCCTGCGCCGAGCTAGCTTCTACCTGCTGAGTTGTGACAACTCAGACTACGATCGGCCCAAAGATTCAGCACGCGATAACACCAATAATCTGTTTTGCATTCCAAAATGTTGCCTGTCCACGAACCTAGTTAACATTACTCGCACGCTTCGCACTTCTTTGATGCTCAGACGCCCACTTCGAACATGGTAGTTCTGAGTGCAAGCATGGAGCACTCTACTTTCGCGGCTTAAAAATACGTGAGGAAAGCGCGGAATGCTCGCGACGGTACCATAACCTCTTACACTGAGCGTGAGTGGCCATGGTCACATCGGGAGCATTTCGCGCCTGACAGCGCCCAACCTTCATCTTTAAATGTATCCTGGTGGTGCAGTTATTCCGCTACTAGCTCCCTCTCTCTCCTTTTCGAATGGTGAGAGTGAGGTGATAAGGAGAAAGAGCTGATACCAACAAGTGAGAACTGGTCCGATCACGCCCTTTCTCCGCCCTATCCGATCACGCCCTTTCTCCGCCCTATCCGCAAAAAAGCGGTCCAGTAGAGCTCTAAATGAGGCGTTTGCTGTTTTTTTTTCGGTTTTTTTTTCTTCACTTTTGTGTTATTCGCCATTTTTCATATGTACGTGAGCTGCATAAACCGCACAACGCAGGGCATGCCCTTAAGTTGACAGTTTCAAAAATCAATCATCGAACACGCTACTTACAAGGGAATGGTTTGAACTTCCCATGGAACTTTGAATGGAGACCTAGGTACATCGATAGAGCCTCGAATGCTGATTACGAATATGCAGATTAAAAGTGCTACGGGGACCTCCCAGACGAGATCTGGGTGGTCAAAGTTTGAGTTCTGGCTCGTAAGCGCTGCTGATCGATGCCTCGGCAGTGCCACCGTGGCCTCGTGGTAATGGTCTCGCTTTCAAGTCAAACGCATACCCGGTTACGCTCATACACATTGAGGGTGTATGAGACTATCAGCCCCCCAGATGTCGATGTGTCGTGGTCCCCCGCCCAAACATGCCCAGGAATGGAGATACAGGGCCGTGAAACACGCTAATTCTTCCATGCTCCGCCCACTGCCTTTTTACGGCGCAGATTTCCGCCGTTGATAACATCCGTTGCCAAGGCGCGCCGGTCCGCGTGCGGCTCCTTTGGCACTTGCCAAGTCTTTTAATGCCTCTCTCAATACAAGGAAAAACGCCCAATTTCTGGATAGCCGGATAACATTGGAGGTGCTACAAAATAGAGCCAGAAGATTGATGACGGGGGGGGGGGCGGGGGAGGTGGGGTCAGAACCTAAAAGCGACTGTGCCACTTCTGCAACATCCCTCGGAGGCCACGTATTTCCACGAAACATGAAAATAAAAACTAAAAACGGCATACTCGTTAGTTTAATACAAGCAAGACGCAATTTCCTGATGATGCGAATTAAAATTTAAGGTGTTGCTCATGCTTCAAAATCCATGTACAAGGAGATGAAGATGACACAGGCTAGAAATGAAGCACAACGATGTAAATGTAAACAAAACAAAAATGAAAAAATCAAGGAAAGGCAAATTAGATAAACTGGCCTGTAAATTTCTACGATCCAGCGCCAAAGCCATATAAATACTTAGAACAAACGAGTGGGACGCTTGGAGCTGTTTTTTTTCTTTTTGTGGCGGAATTGCCGCCGCGCTCTTGCATGCGATACTGCAGATGCAGCCGAGTTTGCTCCTTTAAGTTCTCGCCCCTCTGCTCATCATCTTTCTGCATCTTATTTTGTCATGCCTAGTACCTCAATGTTATCCGCATCACGCGAAATGCGTTTTCCTTGTATTTGAACTGAGCGCAATTAAAGGGACTTGGCAAAGTGCCAAGGAGCCGCACGCGACAGGCGCGCTTGCAACGGATGTTATGAACGGCGGGAATCTGCGCCGTAAAAAGGCAGTGGGCGGAGCATGGAAGAATTAGCGTGTTTCACGGCCCTGTATCTCCATTCCTGGGCATGTTTGGGCGGGGGGACCACGACACATCGACATCTGGGGGCTGATCGATGCCTCGGCAGTGCCACCGTGGCCTCGTGGTAATGGTCTCGCTTTCAAGTCAAACGCATGCGGGTTTGCATCCGGTTGGCGCGAAAATTTTTGCTTCGCTCCGTATAAGAGCTTCAACTCTAATTTTCGAAATTCTTCCGAATTTACGGCCCAGCAGGGCAAGTAGATCAAGTACATCAAGTATACGACGTACTCGATCTAGTATGGATTTGGTCATATCTGCCCTCTCTGAACATATTACCCATCCGACAATTCAAAGTTTTAGCGAGAAATTCGTTCATGGGAGATTTCGACCCCCTGAACACGAATATCACATCCTTCGACGAAAAAACGCTCGTCTGGCCAAATTGCGATTCTGGGCAAAACTTTGAATTGTCGGATGGGTTCGAGTACGTCGTATACTTGATGTACTTGATCTACTTGCCCTGCTGGGCCGTAAATTCGGAAGAATTTCGAAAATTAGAGTTGAAGCTCTTATACGGAGCGAAGCAAAAATTTTCGCGCCAACCGGATGCAAACCCGCATGCGTTTGACTTGAAAGCGAGACCATTACCACGAGGCCACGGTGGCACTGCCGAGGCATCGATCAGCAGCGCTTACGAGCCAGAACTCAAACTTTGACCACCCAGATCTCGTCTGGGAGGTCCCCGTAGCACTTTTAATCTGCATATTCGTAATCAGCATTCGAGGCTCTATCGATGTACCTAGGTCTCCATTCAAAGTTCCATGGGAAGTTCAAACCATTCCCTTGTAGATGACAAAGTAATGTTCAATAGCTGCATGTGTACAAACCCATAGCAGCTTTGTAGCGGCAGCAATGGGAGGTGTTCCTATGATTCTCAAGTGGCTACCAGAAGATGAAGGTTGAAATCACAACGAAAAGACGGAAGAAGGACTAATAAATGGGAGCGGAAGCAAAAAATTGAGATGATCAAGGTATATGATATAA